AGCCACAGTTTGTTATGATCCACACAGTCAAATGCCTTTGCATAATCAATGAAACACAGATATATACATTCCTCTGGTATTCCCTGCTTTCTATATTACTTAGCTTCTTTAAAACACTGTGCACAAAATTTGTTCAATAAATATAGAGGAAAATATTGTCAGGCCCAGAGCAAGGTCAAGGAGGAGAATGAAGGATTCCAAGAATATCAACAGGTCTATAAAGGGAGTGATCCACCTCACCTCCTGGCTAAACTCCCTCCTTTCCCACCCTTAAGACCCTTACTATAAAAATCTGCCCTAATCCTCCTTAAGGCGCTATTTTCCTCTGGTCCGTCTCTCTCCAGACCAAGGAATCTCACCCGGGAGCCCCCTTAATAAAGCTTCTTCAGCTTTCTTTCCTTCTTTCTCTGGTCCCTTCCTTGAGTCCTTGGCCTTATGTCCATTGCGAAGACCTAACAAATATGTGCCAACATATCCACTGTGCTGGTGCCAGGTTCAGGATAACTTTTTCATTACCTAGTGGTAAGAAGCTGCACTGCACTGCTTTTTCATTCAACAATTCCTATGCATTTTGTTTGGAACCACTACCATGGAACTGCTTTCTTCCTACTTTCTCCCTGTGTTTCCCCTTTCCATTGGTTCTTCTTGCCTACCGCTGCCTGTCTTCTGAGCTCTATCCCTGGGTAACTTTTCAGAGAGCTGTCACATCCAAGATTTTGCCTCATGCTTGCTACACCTCCTTGAGGGTAAGCGTTCAAACTTGCATTTTGCAAATTAAAGAATGACTCAGAGCTGGAACAAGCCGCTCAAGGTCACACAGCAGGGCTGAAGTGACACTGGCCTTGGACTCTGAGCCCAGTGCTCTTTCTAACAGGGCCGCTGACAGGCCCTAAGGATCAGGGACTGGTTGGAGGTCCCACCCCAGGGGGATGCCCCCCGGAACTGCAAGTGCTCTGAAAAGCCCCTTCAGGGAGGGGACGTGGGGCTTCGTCAGGGAGAAAATGAGTAAAAGATGAGTGGTGAGGGAAGAGCTGATGAACCGCCGCCCCCGAGAGATTAGACATCATGAGCCGCCCACAGAGTGGGACGGGGCTGCCGAGTCACTCGGCAAATCATCTGTGGGAAGGAGCCTCGCGGGCCGTCCCCCGAGCCCCGAGATCCTATGCCTCTTTCGTGGGGGCTGTTCACTCAGCTTTCACTCTCCCCAGCTGAGTGAGCCATGCTGGAGGCACCTCTCCGCTCATTTCCCAGAGTCCCCTGTTAGCAGGGTGGCCATGGAATCGCGCTTTTGAGAAGGTTCTAGAACCTGAACAGCAATGTGCACAACACATAACACCTTCTTGTACTGTTAAGTGCTATTACCTCCCCCTCAGTTCTTTTCCTGACTGTTTAAGAGATGGAGAGGGACATGGTGTGGGCCCTGAGGGTAGGGGGAGAGGACAGCCAGAAAGGACTGGAAGGTGCAGGACTGGGCCAGCATCTGCTGGGCTCATAGCACAGGGCCTGGGCCCAGAGCTTGGCTGTGCTTGGAACAGGGACGAGCCCCTCAGAGCACACTCAGGAAAGTGAGCCTTGGCCAGATTACAGGTCCCCCCTTCATTCTCATCACAGGACTCAAACCCGCAAGGCCACGAGGATGATTAAAGAGAGCTTGGGGTCAAGCCTCTTGAGTATCTTCTCATCTAGATCATACAATGATGTTGTTGTTATTAGGATACATCATAATAATTATTATGTAAAATATAACTATGGAATTTTCATCAAAATTTGGAAACAGATTATTGGATCTACATTGTTGTTGTTAGATGCCATCTAGTCTATATCAACTCCTAGGAAACTCACTGACTGAGTAGAACCACCCCACATGGGTTTCTAGACTGTAATCTTTATAAGCAGCCTCAGGAGCTCTGATGGCCTAGTGGTGAGAAGCTGCACTGCGGTCCCAAAGGCATATGGTTCAAATCCACCAGTTGCTCTGTGGTGCAAGGATGGACAATCTCTTCTTGTGCAATTAATTACCTCTGAAAACCTGCTGGAGGGTCAGCTATGATTTGCTTCTGACTTGATGGCACATAACAAGTGGTGTTCTAGGGAGCTCTGAGACCTAGTGATAAGAAGCTGCACTGCAATCCCAAAGACATGAAGTTCAAATGTACCAATTGCTATAGGAGAGATGGGCAATCCCCTCCCACATGATTTACTGCCTCTGCTGGTGGGTCAGCTAAGATTTGGTTCTAACTTGACAACACACCAGAACAGTGGTAGCCTATTGGTAAGGACCTATGCTACCAATCCAAAACTACATGGTTTGAACCCACCAGTTGCTCTATAAGAGAAAGATGGGCAATCTTCTCCCATGCCATTTACAGCCTATGAAAACAAGCCAGAGGGTCAGCTCTGATTAAGTGCTGACTCTATGGCAATGATCAGAGTTGCTGAATCTTTATAGAAGCAGATCATTCAGTCTTTCTCTCATGGAGCCACTTGATGGGTTGGAACAACTCACCTTTCCATCAGCAGCCAAGAGTTTAACCACTGGGCCACGGTGGAGCTTCTTATATTTCCAATCATCCAGCCACTTTAGAAAATAAAGCTGCCCCAGCTATACGCTATATAGTCATCTGTGTTTTTAGACTTTATAACTCAATTCTAAATTCATGACGATCAAGGTCTCACAGGTGACCCTCCAGCAGAATTCCACACGTGAGAAGACTGCCCACCTTTCACCCTTGGTGGACTTGAAACATCAGAGAAGAACTACCTTTGGGTTAACAGTGCAACATCCTGAGGACTATGTTGGTGTGACTGAGTGCCATCGAGTCAAGCACGATTCCTAGCGATGCTATGAACAAAAGATCTGAACCCTGTTCTAGAATTATTGCTGTTTCTCTAATGTTCATAAAGTTCCCAAAGGAACTTTGTTTAGGAAGTGGATGCCAAGCCTGCTTCCAAGCCTGTCTTATTCCAGGACCTCCACCAAACACTGTCCACCATGGATAGCCATTATGGCATTTGACACACCAGTGGCACAGTGTTCAGCATCTCAGCAACCCCAAGTTATCTCAGTACCGCAAACTCACAGACCCAGTAGTTACATGATAAAGCATACCAAATAACTACATATTACGAAGAATACTGTCAAAGGATTTTACAGGTATTATGTAATTTACTGCTCAAAGCAAATATTTTAGAGGTAAATGCCATCAATTATCCCCATTTTATGGATGTGTAAACTAAAGGAAGGGAGCCAAAGTAATTGGTCTGTTTGCCATGATGACATAGGGAGTAATTAGCAAAGGCAATTCTAGACACAGGTAGTCTAGAATAACTTTGAAGTCCATGTCCATGCCCACCATTCTACACTATTTATGGTGATCCACTAAAAAAAAAAAAAAAGTAACAAACCCAAATAAACAAACACCTGAGGGTTTCTTTACAGAAGCTGACTGCCATTGTTCTCCTGTAGAGCAGCTGGTGGATTCAAACTATTCACCTTTTGATTAGCAGCCAAATGTGTACTAACCATGGTGCTCCCAGAGCACCTATGTCTGTCTACAGAGAAGGCTAATTAAAAATGCATGAACAGACAGGGGCACCACAGAGGAGGGGGCTTAAGAAATGCAAGAGCCTGTGAGACCTGAAGAAGTGGGGCCCCAAGTGCTCCTTAGGGACAAGGAGCGAGAGACTACCTCACGCATAATATGGGCATGTTACCAGGAGGGTTCAGTCCCTGGAGAAAGACACTGTATTTGGAAAAGCAGAGAGTCAGCGAAAGAGAGTTGTGCAGTACCTGTAACAATGGGCACAACAGAGATCATAGAATCACAGATCATGAGAATGGATGATGCAGCACGGGGCAAGGTCCCCTCTGTTGGTGGTTGCCATTAGTTGTCAGTTACTGTGAGTGGAAATGCTGTGAGTTAAAACCAGCTGTTGTGTACCCATTGAGTCCCCTGCGGCTCACAGCTGCTGCCCAATCAATCCTGAGCAACTCTCAACGTCTTCGACACATTTATCCCTATTATCCTAGATACTGGATCAACCCATCTCTCATCCAGGGTCTTCCTCTCCTGTGCTGTCCCTCCACCCTTCCAAGCATGTCCTTCTCCAAGGACCAGTCCCTGCTGGCAACACGCCCAAAGTTTGTGAGATGGAGTTTTGCAATCCTTGCCTCCAAGGACCAACTTGGTTCCACCCTCTCCAGAACAGATTTGTTTTGTTCTCTTGGCCATCCATGGTATGTTCAATACTCTTCTCCAGCACCACAACTCACCACAATTCAGCTAGATTACTGTTGTTACTTAACAACCCCTTCAGGAGAGAAACTGGAACAAACTTGTCTTATTCGTGCATCACAAGAGTAATGGAGAAGCAGCGGGCTGTCTGGGAGCTCTGGTGGCTGGGAGGTAAGGAGTTGCACTGCTAAATCCAAAGGTACACAGTTCAAATCCACCAGCTGTTCCTTGAGAGAAAGATAGGTAATCTCTTCTCCTGAGATTAACTGCCTCTGAAAAAAACCCACTGGAGGGTCAACAACTATGGGTCAGTTCTGACTTGATGGTACACAACAACAACAATAAGGCTGTCCGTAGAGGGTCGAATCTCTCTGGTGGTTCAAATCCACCAGGTGCTCCACAGACAGTGGGAAATATCTTCTCAGTCATTTACAGCCTCTAAAATGCCCCTGGAGGGGTCAGCTATGAGGCAGTTCTGACTCCATTGCAATGGGGTTTGAGTCTGAGTAGGCTGTCAGTAGATATTTGTTGGAGGGAAGGAAAATGATTAGTGTTCATTAGAGGAAACCGGCAAGTCTCGCTTAAAAGAGAATAAGTCGACAATGAATTCAGAGGCTTTGAGGACCATCGCCTCCCTAAAAGGCACCTGAATGTGGAAAAGGGTCTGCAGACCCCGGCGCACAACTCGACCGCACAGCCCAGCCCTGGCTGGGAAGCGCCCAAGGCCAGGAGCTCCCGCAGCAGAGAAAGCAGAGAGTGACCCACCTTCCTCGGTGTCGTTGCGCAGCGAGGCCTCCAGCAGCGCCACGCTGGCCTCGAAGGACACCTTCTTGCGGCGGCCGCCCGCGCTGCGCTTCCGCTCGTGCTTGCGTTTGCGGTGCTGCAGGTCCTGCTCGTACTGCGCCCATTTCTTCAGCTGCTGGGCCCGGCGCTTCTGGGCGGCGCGCAGGCGCTCGAGCGTGGGCACCTTCTCCAGCAGCTGCAGCTCCGTCAGCAGGTCCATGTGGCTGGCCATGGCCACCGGGGCCTCACGCGCGCCAGCCAAGGCTGGCCAAGCGCTAGCAAGGGGCGCCGGGGGCCGGGGAAGCGCGGGGTCTCTGACGGGGCTGGGACTTCATGGTGGGGCCAGCTCTCCCGAGTTCTGCTTGGGCGCTCCTGGCCCCGGCTGGCCTGTCAGTCCGTCCGCCCCCGTTTTGTATAACTCTTGAACATTGTCAAAACCAGGAATTAAAAATTATTATTATGTGTGCTACATCTTTTATGATGAACTTTTGATTGTGTTTGAGTGAAAGTTGCCAGAGAAAATAGGTTTTGTACTAATCTTTCATATACATTTGTTTGAGGACATTAATTAGTTACAATCTGCCTTGCACAACACTCTTCCCAGCCCTCCCTGTGTGTTCTGCTTCTAGCCATCCTTCTTTCCTGTCCCTCCTGTCTTCAGAGTTTTGCCCCTGGGGAAACACTGCCCCTTTGAGAGTGCAGGACTGATTGTTCTAAGGAGTAAGAACCTCCTGGTGTCAGAGCGCCCTTTTAAACTTGCCTATCGTTCGCTGAAAAGCTGAGCCACAGAGGTGAGTTGAGATCCTGGCTCAAAGGGGACTCAGGGCCACAGTCACAGACCTTCTCCCAGTCCCTGTCAGCCAGAAAGACTGGTCTTTCTTTATGATATTGAGTTTTGTTTCATTTTTCTCCCACTTTGTTCAGGACCCTTTATTGTGAGCCCGTTTAGAGTGGTCAGCAGCAGTGGTAGCTGTCCGCCTTCTTCTCTCAGGATTGTGGTGGTTGAAGCTCGTGACATTTATTACTTCTTTGAACTATTTTTTTCTTTTTTAAAACTGAAATTTTAATGGAAGTTTATAGAGAACTTGGATTTCCATGCAATCATTATTGTACATTTTCCTCTCTACACCCCCCCCCTCCCCATTCGCTTTTTCTTTGGGAAAAAAAATTCTTTCATTGTTATACAGTCTCCCCTCCCAGTCCACTTTACTATGCAGTTCTTATTCTGGACTCTTGTAATGCCAATAATACCTAATCATATATTCCTTTTATACAGTTCTCTCTCTCATCTGTTTCAATGCTATGTACATTATTTATTCCTTCTTTTCTTTTTTAATTTTGTACATTATTTTAATTTTTTTACTAGTTTATTCACAAAATTCTAATACAAATTAAAAAAATTCTTTCAATTTCCCTCACTCCCCCTCAAATTGTAAAACCCGATACTTAATCCCCTCTTCCCCCTGTATATCCACATCCCTCTGCTTCCAGCCTCTCCCACCTCTCATGGATTCTTATACTTGTTCAACAATAACAGTCTTATACAATATTTATCCTTGTGGGATAGTTAGTTGACTCAGCATAATGCTCTCCAGTCCCTCCCAAGTAAGGTAATAATTCACAATGTTATTGGTCCTATGTGCTGCATAGTATTCCATTGTGTGAATGTACCATAATTTCTCAATCCATTCATTTGTGGTTGGACATTTGGGCTGTTTCCATGTTCTTATGATGGTGAATAATGCTGCTCTAAACATTGGTATACAAATCTCAGTTTGTGCCTCAATCAGCTCAAGGTGGATGAGAGACCTGGGAGTAAAGCCCAAAACCATATCGTT